GAATGCAGGTGAGAGAAGGGGGAGAGACTAACAGAAGGCTAGTGTGGAGGGATGGATGAGGGTGTTGAAGTCTTTGGAGAGCTATTGAAGAGGAGGACTTCAACGGTGAGAACTGTCAGGACTTGGTGAGTAATGGACGTCGAGGGGAAGGGAGAGCGATGGCTGGCTTCTGGTCCAAGAGAGCCTTCTCCTATTGCGCTACAACTTTCTGTGAGAACCCAGACCCGGCCCACTTCCCAGAATCTAAAAGAGGATCAAAAATGTTACTTATCTCAATGTACTGCATCACGAACCCATACGATAGAAAAGAATTTTCTAAAATATTCATTGCAGATTCTTTCATGGACATGAAATCTATGGCTGTATACAAAAAGTGTCAGGTATTTTTCACTACTGACTGTTTTGTATACATTAAACATCAAGTACGTACATTTGTAGTCAACATTACACATATCCCTTTGATAATCACTGGCCAAGTAACTACTGTGTAGTATACTATAGATGTTATTTTGTAAAAGGATTAGAGGAAAGCTTTTGAACATATTTGGAAAAATAAATCAGTCTCTGATAACGGCCCTACTTTTCTTTGGTAGGTTTTGTCCGACCTACTTAGCTATAGCATAATTTTATCTTAACATATTTAACTACATCCTGTGTATGAAGAAATAATGCTTCTACATTAAGAAGCATTAAGATCATAGATCTAAAGTGTCTCTTTCTTTTCTCTAACATTGAGTTAAAATATTTCCTGTATAATCAGAAAACACCGACTACATCCATTGGCTTTGCTTTGGAACACTAGCTCCTGATAACAGTCATCATCTGCAAGAATAAGAGAAAGCCACACACACTTCTGTTTCCGCAACATGACAACTTTCTTAAAACCAGAAATTATGTGTGAAAGGAGACTAAATAACAAAAAGAAATGTGCTTCCATCCACCCCGATTAAATCTTCTTGGAAACAGAGATAAGAAACAAAACGAAAAATCCATTCCTTTTGGAAAATGAGTCTTTAACCTATGGGTTGGTTGATTTTGAAAAGGAATTAGATTCTAGGCCCACATATCACACATTCATAATATAACGCCATTGTCTCATCTCTCACTAGATATGCTGCTATGACTTTTAAGCAGAGGGAACATTTAACAAGAAGCAACCTAGGGAAGGGACGATCTAACTCAGACATCAATAATTCATTTATCAGAAATAGGAGTAGTGGTATGAAATGCCAGGAGACTGTTTCATTTACGGGGAGGTATTTTCTATTTTAAGCCTGGAACAATACAGGCAGCTTTATTCGGCAAGCTAATATGAATGGAGGCACAGCTGAACGGGAGAATAGGTTTTATGGTCTCCTCTAATAACGGTATTTCTTTAGCATCAGTTATTTAGGTCTGACACACCACTATTTGGGCACTTGAAGAAGTGACAAGAAAGGAATTTTTATAACTTTTGAACTTTAGAGGCAATTACCTTTACCCCAAAGCGTTAGCACTACAAATGTAATCATGTTACGTCTAAGAGATATGATTTGCATAAAGTTGTGAGGGTACATTCTCTCTTAGTACTAACAACCCTTCAGGTGTTACAGCTTCTTACTAAGTCATCTCCCAATTCAGCCCATTAGTTGGCAGCCTATATTATTTCATCATTGTATCCCCCAAGCATTTAGCACAGAGCCATTCACAAAGCAGGGTCTCAATGAATAGCTGCTGAATGAATGAACAAATGTAGCCAAGTGTCAAATAATTCCAGATATGCTCTGAAGCCTAGTGGTCAGATTGTACAATGAGGAGACCCTTGCCTAGAATATGCCTCAACTTCCCCATTCTGATGATGATTAGAAATTCCTCCTCTTCGCTATCTTACATTAAATTCAAGGACTCCTGCTCCACTGCGGGAGATGGGGAAATGGAATTAAAGAAAAGCAGATTTACTGTAGATTGAACGATTCATAGCTCTCAGATCCTAAAGAAGCAAAAAGACCTATCCAAACCTCTAACCTTGGAAATACACAAAGACCTCCAAGTCTTAATTTAAATTTGAAATGGCCATTGGCATGTATATTTTGAGATACTTATAATTTTTAACTGATTATTTCTCAAGAACTGGATATGGGAAGAGAACGCAATTATAATTATAGCTATAATTATCTAGCACCTATTACATAGTCAGCAGTATGCTTGGTGTTTTACAAACTTTATTGCTACTCTTTAGAGGTATTATTATGCCTATTTTAGAGATTAAAAACAAGTAACTAAAGCTCAGAGTAGTTAGACCCAAAGACCATAAAACTAATCAAGGAGAACCAAGGCTAAAAGCCAACTTTTCTAAACTACAAACCCACTCTTATTTCCTGAGGCCAGGTGACATCTATTCAAACAGATTTTATCTGTCTCTGGATGCACGCTTAAAGACAGATCCATCAATCATACCTATAGTTATGGTCTAGTGAGCAGAGAGGATACTTTAACCCTAAATGCCTGAATATAAGCTTGTGGTTGGCCAAAAAAAAAAAAATCAGGCATCAACTATTGAGAAGATATAAAGGGACACCTGATGTCCCAGGTGACTGGTATGGACTGCTGGTGTTGCACCTCTGAAAATGCCATCTTTCACTGTCAAGACAGGAACAATACCTGCATCCTCCAATAATCAATCAAACCCACACTGTACTCCAAGAACCATGGACAGTGCTTAGAACGGGGCGAAACAGGACACACTAGAATAGCCCAGAGTGAGTGGGACCACGGTGATGCTTCTTGAACAAACGTCTTGGGAAGCAGCCAAGTTTAAAAGGAATCTTCACAAAGAACACAGTTTTTAAAAGGGAGCCTATGAAAAGTCAGCGAACATAGTATAGTCAGTTCTCCTATAACATTTGCCCTGAAAATATGAATTTTTTCCAATACCATTGATATATTAGAGAAGAATTTGAGCATAACGCAAAATTTGCATTTGTTTATGCGCAATTTTGTCCCCAAAACTCTAGGTGAATGTAGAAAACACCTAGCTGTACTGAGCCTGGTAGGAAGACACAAAACTCACAGAGTTACTATCGTCCTCAGGAGCACAACGGTCCACACTTGTCCACATCTGTGTGGCTATCTCCTCTTTGATTTTAGGTAATCCTCCTTCTTCTTCACAGTAACTTGCAAGCTGCCACACTTCCGAAAGCCATCCTGGGAGGTGTCCTCCATTCTGCTTAATTTTCCCCTTTCCTCTCAAGCTATTTCATAATTTTCCTCTCTATTCTGTGCTCTTCTTTAAGATTTTAATCTTCATCTCTTATTTCCTCTTACTCTTTTTCTCTTGCATACAGAACGTCAGGCCTGTGAGTAGGAGTAGACATAATGGGCACACGCTTGCACAAGCAAACTTCATGTCTTTTTCAACATAAAGTGCCACAGTTATTATAATTTTATACATTTCTTAACCATTTAACATGGATAAAACTGGGCTATTATTTTTAATAGGTCCCTATGATCTTCGTGTTTGTGTCACTGGTGAAGATTTTTAGTGTTGAGCCCCTACTTCATTTTCTTATTATTCCGTGGCTTTAGATTTTGCAGAGTAAGAGTATTTGTGGGAATGCATATATTGCATTATAGCAGAATGGATTACATATTGAAATTTATCAGTGGTGACTTTTAAGTACTGAAGCTTCAAGTTTCTTCCTCAGTGTTTCACGCTAATTTGCAAATTAGGTTGAATGCATTAGCACGGATTGTCTCAAATTATAAGCCTTTGTGTGAAATTCACTATAACTTTAAACCGTGTAATCTAGACACTAATGAACAGTTCTAAAAGAAAAGTATCCATTTTAATTTAGATCTCTTTCTCTTTTTGTTAGAAAGTTCTGGAAAATTCTATCTACATTAATTTGCACATTAATACTTTCACCACTCACAACACTCAGTTGTTAATATTAACAAACAGCATATTTTCCACAGTAACATTTTGAAGCTTCTTTGTAGATGGTAAAAAGAGAAAGAAAGAAAAAAATCGATGCACAGTCATAATTATCTAGGTTGTTTTTTTAAGCTAAACTTAGTGACTTCTTTAATCAAATAATACTAGCTGAGAAATTTTTCCCGAAAGAAGAACACAGACTGGAAATAGTACATAATAAGTGGGCAAAACACCTCTCTTTGAAACTTCTGCGATCTCAAACTAAACCATGTAAATAAAATTTCAAGTTATAGTATCTAAATCACAGCATTATCCTAGAGAAGCTTTGCAGTAAAAGGAAAAAAGTTAATGTGATCTAGAGATTAGAAATATCTACTAACCTTTTAGAGAATCTGGGTCATCATAAACCTAAAAAAGCATTCCCATTTACTTTCTGAGGAATGTTAGGATATTTTATGTTATCAAATGGAGGTGCATTTTCACTTGCTTTCACAAAAACTACTGTACTAACTGGAAAGTGTAAATGTGGTTAAATGGGTTTCTATGGCTCTTGACTGTGGAGATAAGAAAGGCAACGTGCTCCACACGTGGCAAACCTCACAGGCATTTCAGGTGTATCAGTAGGAGACACATTCACTACAGAGGAGACGGGAGAAAAGCAGCAGCAACAATAGGAATTGGCAGAGACCTCAAGCACAGTATTCAATGATATTTACTGAATTTAACAAAATAAAGTAACTCTTTTTGGGGGTACTTTGTTTAGCCTCTCCCTTTAGCACCCTCATCCTCAACAAATGGGTCATGAGCCAATTACCACATGAGGGGCAATATTCCCCAGCTGCACCCTTAAGATCTGGAAATGCTGAGTCATTCCCCAGAGTTCTCTCTGCAACCATTCTTATTTCGTCAACCACCCCTTTTTATTACCAAGAAGCTTCAGTGGAGAGAGACTTGTTTATCTTGGAGCAAATTAGGGATCGTTTGTTACCAAGGATTTCTAAGAAAAAAAAAATTACTTCCCTCAGGAAGAGCAGAAAACAAAGCTCCTTGCCAGCCACACGCCAGCCACTCCTCACTTGAGCCTTACTTGTTCTCGTTGCTTGCATCATAACGAGGCATTGGATCCAAGTCATTCCCATTCACGTCACAACTTGCCAGAGCATCCTATGGCCACAGAGGAGAGAGCAAGGGAAAGGAGACGGACATTCATTAATTAGCCAGTAACCCGAAGGCTCATGCATTCTTAAACACATTTCTGCAAGAGTAATTATGTTAAATAATACACTCATGGTTCGGTGGTGTCAGGATGCCACGTTCAGTAATAATCCATGTTGTGTTTTTACCCCTTAAGGGGAAAAAATACTCTCCACGGACCAAAGAAGTGTCCAGTCCACTCTTGCCAGCACTTTTTCCCTCATACCTAGAACAGGCCCCTTACCCAATTCCTGCAAAGATGTCCTCAATTACCACCTTTTCTGTGAAGGACTCCTGTAGTACCCACAGGAAAGTGAGTTATTCTCCATGGACTCTCCATCTATTCCTTACTTCATTTCCTGAGTGTGCAAATTCCTTATCATAATTCAAACGTTTTTCTGAAGACAAAAATCATTCATGAATAATTGGCAAGCCAATTAAAAATCAGTGTTAGAAATTTACTATATCAGGTATCTTGGGACCTGCATTAGACAATACTTGTCTGGTTTCAGATGTTTAATCTACTATAAAAGAGTCTACAGTTCAGACTTCTTACTAAGGCTGATGGCCTTTTGCCCCAACCAAATTAATGAACAGTTTTATTATACGCCAGGGTTTCAAAATGAGGCCAAAGTGTCTCTGAAACCAAAGTTGGGTTTAATAGTTTGCTTTTAAAAATGATTGTGAAAATCTCCAAATTACTAAGAAGAACTTACTGAATTGTTCCATCATTCAAATTTATGTCACTAGATAGAACGAATTTAGGACGATTTGAATTTTCAGATGCTTTATGATAATTCCCCATCAGTTTTAGTGAAAACAAATGCTGTCTTTGTTTTCCATCTTTATTGAAGCCTCTTGTTTCTGAAAATAATTTGTAATATACAAAGTCAGAAATGTTTGGGGGAATTAAGCAAAATACATATTTCATATAAAGGTGGTAAGTCGCTTCTTCCCATACAGAGGGGGCCCTGCAGCTGCCCTTAGTGGGCATTATGGCACAAAGGGCGTGTCTCTAGTGTAACTTACCAATTTTACAGATTGGTGGTTACCAGGGGGAAGGGGGAGGGGGGAGGGCAAAAAAGGATAAAGGGGCACATATGTATGGTGACAGATGGCACCTAGACTTCTGGGGGTGACCATGATGTTGTCTATACACAAGTCAAAATATAATGATGTACACCTGAAATTTATATAATGTTAAACCAATGTTACTGCAATAAACTAATTAAAAAAATAGTTTTTAAAGTTTTTTTTTTAAAAAAAAGGAAGCAGAAGACCACCGAACTGCCTGTGGGACCAAGACTGAAACCCAGGCCATCTGACACTCCATCCAACATGATTTTCTCTAGGAGAACTGAGAGGGCACCAGTACTGCTAATTACACAGATAAATTATGGAGAATTTTCTTTCAAAGGGGAAAAAAAAGAAAAAAGGTGAAGAATGCAATCACAATTAGGTTAAAGCTATTTGTATTTAATCAAATACATTCCTATATAGTGGGGAGCAGAACACCCCATTAAAAAAAATCTCTTCACATATGACAAGAAAGACTTCTTTGCTAGGAGATGAGTAGCCACAGTTCTGTGCTTTATATAACCTTGGCCAACTCGCTTTAGTTTTCAGGCCTCAGTTTCTACCTTATCAAATGAAGAGATTGAGCTGAAGTTCCCTTTTCAGCTCTAAGATTCTGTGCTGTGAAGAGATCCAGGTTTATCTGAGTGTGCTTGGAGGCAGGCTGAGAGCAGCCACTTGAATGTTTTGTTCAAACGAGAACTAAATGAATTTGCGGTCCCTCTTTTTTTTTTAACCTTAGGGAAAATCACCTAGTTCAGGGAAAACTGTTTCAATATTTCATTGTAAAAAATTAATTTTGTGAAGTTTCTTGGCTGAATTTTTGAAACAAAATGGGCAACAGAATAGACTATTGCAAGGAAAAGTAGTTGAAGTCGATGGAAATGTAATACGATAATGGGTGTGACTGGTGAAGGAAGGTCTTTGTGGGTCAGAAATATGGGTGACTGTGTGCGCCAGTGGTAGCTTCTGATGTGCCGAGGAAGTGACTTGGAAGTATTTTACTTGCAAAGATAAAATGGAGTCTTTTCAGGTTAGTGACAAAAGGAAAATTAAGAGAGATTAAGTGTCATGAAATAAGTGAGATTGAGCAAATAAGAAAGAAACATTCGAGAGACTTTACAGCAATTTCTACCTAAATGGTTTCATGAGAAGCTGAAGCAGTAGGTGCGAGGCCAGAGACGAGAAGGTCACAGAGACAGACACACACAGTGATTCCCATTGTGCAGAGAAATTAAGCCTTCCCATGCCGAAGACTGTCAGTGAAAGAGACGGACAGAGAGACAGAGAGATCAGAATTCAACAGGACATCGTGTCCCTTTCTGTGACTCTTGTCCTTAAGGAAAAGGCCACATCCACTCTGAGTAAGGCCAGGACAACACCCCTCAGGGCCACTGGGGTATCCAGCAGTTACTGAGGAGCAAACAGCAGAGAGAGGCAGTGGGCACGCTAGGATGGCAACTCCTCTGTGCGGATGTGCAGAGGGAACCAATGGGCAGGGCACATCTCACAATTCTCTGCTGGCTCAGGGCACAGTGGGATGGGCTGGGCTTGCTGAAGACCCTCCCTTAATGACCATGAAGTGGAATATAGAAGAGAAAAATTTGAGGAGATGTGTCATCCCAGTTATAGCCCGGGGTTTTCTGTGGGGCCCCTCCTTAAACAGAGGGCAAAGCTTCCCGCCTGATCTATGACTTTCCTCCTAAAGGGTCAATATGAGTCCTGTAAAGGGAAGTGGGCTTCACTGTGATTTAGAGCTGCTTATATTTTCCAGAATATAAGAGAAACTTGTAAGCTGATAGAACATCATCCAATTTAAGATCAATTTTTTTCAATACCAACGTGAAATACAATTTAGGAAAACTCATGCAGCCAAAATTTGGGAATTAAAAGGAACCACGGAGGAACAGAGAGGGACATGGGTAAAAGTGAGTGCAGTTTAAGTGGGTTTGCAGCAATATCATTGTTCCTGGGTGGAAATAGTTGTCAACAGAAAAGAAGTTAGAGAATTCAGGAGACATGGGTGTATGCGGGATCCATGAGGAGTTTCCGCTGAGCTCTCATGGGGATCAGAGTTTTATCTGCAGATAATAGGGAGTCATTGCAGGCTCTTTAGAAACAAGATAAATATTTTAGGGAGAACACCAAGGTGTCAGGAAACACAAATTAGCAACAGATAGAAGACAGCATATTGGGAGATAATTATGACACTTTTAACCCAACTTAAGGAGGAGAAGCCGATGGAAGGGATCAGTTTGGAGAACAGAGGACACAGGGGTCATTGACACATTTCCGGGCAGTGAATATCACAGGGAAAGAGGGGACCCAGAGGCTCTAGGGGCAGAAACTGACCCCTGTGTCCAGGAACAGGCTACCAACACACTGAGCACCGGGTATCAAGACCATGGTTTTCAATGAAAGCACGGAGCTTCAGCACTTTCGCTTGCTCTGTGATCTTGGGCTCATCTTCTGTTCTTTCTAAGTCCTGGAATCATGGTTCTTTCTTAAGAAAGGGAATTGACTGATTCCTAAGGACTACTGGGAGGCTGATCAGCACTGTACTTTAAAAAGGAGAGGCAGAGAGAGAAAGAGAACAGCAGAATACCTTGAGAAAAGTTCTGAGTACACTTTTCTCCATGAAAGAAACAAAGAATGTTGTCTGGCTGCCTGGATGAACTGTTGAGAAGAGCAGTTGTCATCAGTAGCAGATGGTGTTGGTGGTGGGGTTTCTGCTACTGTATCACCTGCTTTCTGTCATCAGAACATCAGAAGCATGAGAGCTGAAATCATTATCTCACGCTTCCTGTACTCCGAGAGCACATCTTTCACAAGATGCGAGCAGCGCGCAGAACCTATTGTACGTGTTAGTTCCCCCTTTTTGATAATCCTAACATGAGCTCCCTTGCTTCCAAGGAGGGAAGGTGTTCTGACCACAGCAAACACTCACATAGTTCTGCATCAGATCCGGATGGGTTCTCTCAATGCCGTCGTCCAGGATGGTGACCACAATGTTCTTTCCCGTGTAGCCTCTCTTCCAGGCGCCTTCAATATTCATGTCCGATTGGCAAGGATGCGTGTTGTCACTGCAATGCTAAAGGAGGAAGAGGGAGAAGTGGACTTTGCAGTTACTCAATAGTGGAGAGATGAGAGAATTACCTACTTGTTAAGATAATGCATTAAATTAACAAAAATTTGGTGGACTGCCTGGTTGAGTAGAAGGACACAGGAGACTCCAGCAGGATCACAAGGGGAGGTGGGAAGGATAGATGTGGGGAAGGCAAGCGAAATAGAAGTCTCTTCTGCTAGCTCTGCCCTGTTCTAATATCATAGATCCTTTGGGAAAACATAATAAAATGAAGTATATCTCAACAACAGAATAACGGATGCATCATTTTATTGTTAGTGTATATTATTGACACATAAAAAGGCATTATGTAGCATTTCATTTATAAATCCAAACTAAGTAACTGAAGAACAAAGCCTTATGATTTCTTCACCAGGTACCTAGAAGCTGATTCAGCTACAAAGAGCTAACTCAGGCAGTGTCAGCCAGTGGTGTGCTGCTGTGAGAAACCCATGAACGAGAAATAATAACAGCTTCTTCAAACTTCCTTCAATAGAGTAACAATGGCTGTTGGACCATAGTTTGTAGGGGGTCAACACTCATTCAGGGCTACTTTGAGAAGGGAAAGAAGAATAGTGTCAAGTACAGAAAGGTGACCTCCGCAGGAAAATGCATGTGAGGGCTTCAAGGTTTATATAGAAACATTGAACCTTAGCTCATTATGAGTAGTCATTTCATTCCACAATGGCGACAACACACAAACATATTGAGAAATGAATTAAACCAGTAGCTTTTCCTGATATAATTTACTAGCCTTTGTCCAACCTACACAACTGTTCCTTCAAAGTCCATCTCTTTGAAATATCCCTCTAAGTGGTGTGTTTTCCAGGTTCTTAAGACTCAGCAGACGAACAAAGGGAGAGAAATGTGCTGTAACATAATGCCATAGCAACAGAGCCACCCCAGGTCTTTCACCATTCACTACTTTCTTCCTGCTCTGTAACAGTTTAGCACTTCGGGAGCGGAAGAGAATGTGAGCTTTGTATGCGCTAAGCATGATGGAGACCCCACTGCCATTGATTCATCCAACACATATTTCATCAAGCACCTACTATGTGCTGGGATATGGCAGTGAACAAGGTCCCTGTCCTGATGACCCCTCTAAAGAGGAGGTACAGATAATAAATAAATAAACAAATGAGACCACTTGGAGCACTCCTATGTTTTACAGAATTACAGATGGCGATACCATGGTGAATGCAGGGGTCTGAGCACACCACTTTAGTGACACTTTTGTGGTCAGAAAGACTCCAGTCTCTGAGACAGTGAAATGTCAGCTGAGACATGACTGATGAGAAAGAGTTGGTCTGCCCAAGAGCCGGAGACAAGCGTCTTGGCAGAGGACACAACAAATGCAAAGACTGTAAGGAGGGACAGGGCTTAGCACACTGAAGAAAGAGAAAGAAGGCGGGGTATTGCTGAATCCTAGTGAATGAGGGAGAATGGCAAGAAGCCCACTAGAAGGGGAAGTGAGGTCAGATCATCTAGGGCATTGTAGCCCCGACTTGGCTTTTATTCTAAGTACAACCTAAATGGAAGCTCATCTCTTTCCAAACTTTGCCCCTCAAAATCAGATGCTAACTAGTGACAGACGCCTCTAACGCCCCCTAACATGAATTTGTTGATTAATTTATTCCCCAAATGAGACTGCCTTTGTTGAATGGTATAAACACAGGAGTAGTTTCAGGGATTCATTCTAACAAAGAGTGTACCCATTTTTCATCACAGATAATACCAGTTTCATAGAGAATAGAGAATGCTTTATGAACATTTGCATCTTTCTCCCACCTTCTTGACTTCTTTCTGGCACTTCAGGCCAACACACACTCTACTACTGTACTCTGTCCTCCGCTGATCCAAATTCTACTCTCCCCATCTCTCCTCAGTTTTCCAGGCACAGCTCAGGTCCTACTTCCTCCTACAAAGTCTTCTTGAGTTCTCCAGCCTTCTGTCTGTCTCTTCCCCTTCCATGAACTTAGGCAACACACACACACACACACACACACACACACTCTGTTCTACACAATCCAACCCCTACTCACTGAATTCTGCTGAACTGTTGTTGACTGCTGAATCTTGTGCGTGAATTTTGTCTCCTTGATTACGAGCCCCTAGAACTAAGTCTAACCTAGGACTTCAGTAAACATTGGTTAATTAATTACACAGCAGAAATGAGAGTATATCTTCACTACATTTCCAAGTTCAAACCTGCCGTTATGTTTACTGTTCCAACCACTTCAGCAATATCACGCCAGCTAATGCTTGGTTAACAGAGACGATCATGAGAGAAATAGGGTGGATTTCTGAAATTTCTACGTTTTTCAGAAGTCTCATTCTGGCCAAGAGTTTGGGCCTTTCCTGACCAAATATTTTAATTTAACACAAAGTAACTTTGACAGATTTCCATTTCATTTTTTCTTTTTCAAAACCTGCTCTGGCCACCTGTGGTATCGTTTGTGACATGCAGTAATGTTCATGTGGCCAAGAGGTGGGCCGGAGGAAGGAAATGCACAGGAAATGGGTAACCCACAAATGGGATAACCGTACTGGAGTAGAGAGATGCTGCCTGAAATTGTAATTACGAAAATTGAAGAAAACCAGCCGTCTATGGAAAACATGTGTGTTAAAAGTGCAGCAATTAGGTTTCTTTCTTCTGCTTCTCTTGAATCTGACTTTACCATTAAATGTTTTTGTACCACCTTTTTTCTTTTCATCCACCAACATGGTATTGCTGGAATGGGAAGAAGAAACAACCAGTTGATACTTTCATTTGGATAATCTAACAGAGTAGGTAACCAAAATGTCAAAGGAAAAGATGATCAGAGCCTGGTGTGTTTCTTGTAAGTTAATAATAAGGCTAGAGGACCCTTAAATCAGAACCCTAAATCCTGAATGTGAACCTTAGATTTTTAACGTGTATTTCAAGTGGTCCATGCTTCCAAATGTGTTTCTAATATAGTTGTTTCTAGTATAGTTGTTTAGATACCCAAGATACCCGAAGAGCAAAGACTGTGGAAAATATTGATGCCAGTCAACAATGACCAAAGAGAATGAGTTAATCATTTCCTCACGTGCCTGATCAAAATGGTCTTTAAACTGAGCTCTATTTACTTGACAGGAATCTGTGTGACAGTAGCACTCAAAGGCAAAAGGAACACATGCTAGGCGTGGTTCCCTCACACACGGTCAAGCAAGTTGAGATCTCTGACAGAGCTAGAACTGAAGACTAGTTTCTGGATTGTGTTACCACATATGCAGTCCACAGACTGGTATTCACAAAAGGGGGCAGTCAGAAACTTCCAGCATATTTGAAGCTGATGAAAACCACATATGTGCACAGTGTATGCAAGATAAATATTTATAGTAAATGTAGGTACCTTCAGTTCTCAATAATGTACTGTATTTCAATGATGGTCGATGCACAGATGAGTAAGTATTTAGAAATGACACAAAATGGAAAATATCTGCAGAAACAATGGTTACCACCTAGGACTCCCACTTCTTTATCCATAAAAGCTTTTATTCCTTTTAGAAATGAAATTTTAAAGAGACTGTTCTGTGAGTTCTAGAAACAGAGTTTTCCATACCAGGGTTATGAGCTATTCTGCTATAAACCACTCTGGGTGTGTCCACTTCTCTTGTGTCTTCATAAACATATCACAGTGTTTGCCTAACGAAAGAACAGTTTATACCCAAAATAAACACCTTTGTTATGTTCTCATCATCATTTTCTTCAGACTAGGAGGAAAAAACCCTCAATGTCATTCTTTTTAAACTTCTCCGAGTTCTGAGGGTCTCCAATGATCTGCCAGTTTATAAGCTGCCAATAGCCTAACACTGAAAACATCTGTTGTTCATTGTTATTGATACAGTGGCTCAGAAGACTAAATCTCTGACTATACGATGTAATAAGAAAGCAGAATTAAATATACAGGAAATCTGTTCTACAGATAAATTCAGAAACATATCTAGTCCACTTAGTAAAATGTATATACACTTGAAATTCTTCATAAAATTTTGGGTCCAAGAGCTCTAAGAAATTGAAAAAAATAGAATTGATACTCTCTTACATGGAAATATAACTGACATCTACTAGATCCTTAGAAGGCCAAGCATTGTACTAATCACTTTTATATGGACCGGCTTCATTTAAGACTCAGAACTATTTGAGAGACGTACTTTTACTTTTATCATCTGCTTTTAACAGATAAAGAAAATGAGACTTATCAGTCTAGGTGCACTTCTAGAGTTCAAACAGCTGGTCAATAGTAGAATTAGGATTCAAAACCAAGCAATCTGACACCAGACCACAGAAACTCTTCAACTGTTAAAAATTGAAACAGAAAGGGCTTAGAGGAAAGCAAAACACACGCAAATTCAGATAAGGAGTGAATGCTGGACAAGATAGCACCAATAAAGAAATTCAAATACTGGACATTTCACTGACCTTAGCACTGTGATCAGTGCGTTCACGTGATAAGGTGAAACATAGTTGGATAAGACTTCAGAGACATTCCAATTTTCCCTCATTCCACTTATTGCAACACACCTTTTAGGAAATCACCAAGTTTCTATTTGAATAGTTTCAATGACAGGGAGCTCACTTCTTCACTAAACAGCCAATGATGTGCTGGTATATCAGTTCTTTTTTAAGAAAGAATTGATTTTGTAGTGTTTGCCAATTTCCATGGTGTAAATACTCACATCATGGCCAGTTTTAAACTACCACGCTTGCAAAATGCCTGAATGCGTAACAAGAAGATTTCATGAGCTGTCAGAAGGCTGCTCCAGCATACCACTGGAAATGGCTCACTCAACTGGTAGTCGGGACCCGTTTCTGATGAAGTCATCCCTTCCAACGGGTCTGACATCTGCTTCTCAGTACGTGGGGACCACTAGGAAGTGCCTAGGCTTAGTTCTCCCCTTTGCAGTTTCAGACAATAATTTTCCTTCCTCTTGCGTCTATT